TTATATATATATATTTGTATATCAAATGAAATGTTAATATAAAATTTTTATTTAATTTTTAATGTTTTTAAATTTAACATGAATTTTTCTGTACTTTCAGAAAGTAAATACATCCGAATTAGGAGAAGTTGTTATCTTGTATGTTGATATTAATAAAGTTGAAACATGTTTTAATGATCTTGAAAGCCTTCCTTCAGAAATTGTAAGCATTTTATTTAATAAATAGCATATTTTATTATAGTTAATTCTAAACAGATCTTTTGAGACTTTAATAAAATAAGATCACGGCTAACAAATATAAATAATAGCTCTTTATTTTTTTTAACTTCTTAAAATACTTTATTTAATGAAAATAAACATGAAAAAACAAGTATGGTCTCCTGCCTTAATGTTTTTATTTATTAGTTTTTTTAAATCAAAATAATTATTAGAATTTATACAAATTAACCATTAACTGTAATTCCTGTTTTTATTTTTGTACAAATTTAGTGTATTTTGATGAGTTTGGCTCATTAAATATACTAAATAAACAAATCATATAACTTTTACAGTAATTTAAGCAGTCATCGCTATGTAATGGTCAGTTTTAGAAAGTACTAATTTTTCTCCAATGAAAACCTTTGGCAACTGTTCAAAATGGCCAGCAGTCTGAAATTCATAGCACATTTCTTATAATATAAAGAGCAAATTTTATTATTTCTAAAATATTGAAAGACTGGATAATCAGTGTACATCAATGGTTTCAACCGGCTGTACCTATTTCACATATCTGTATATAAGAATTTACTATTAAATTTTAATTTTTAGTAGCGAGTTTTTATTAATTTCAAAAGAAATGTAATATATTTTAAAGATATCAATATAAATAAAATCTGTTTTTGATTGTTGATGCACATTCCTTCCATACACTATTTATAGAAATTAATTTATAGTCCTGGAAAACGTTTGAAACTACCTGAATTTTCAAAGTTTCCAATAAAATTAACTGATTTCCTGTAAATATCTTGTTGTTTAGGTATTAAAATAAACCAAATATTATTAAATAAAAATTTATTTCCATATTTAAGAAATTCATATATAACAAATTATTGCTTGCAATTTGCCTGGAAAAAAGTTTGAGACCATGATCAAAAAAAGCATCACAAAAATAAAAATTAGTGGGAAAAACAATGTTTAATATTTAGTTTGTTTACCATTAACCTGAATAACATCAAGCTGCCTACATCATCACAGATTATTATTTATAGTATTAGAAGATCATGCTGTTGTAAGTAAAACAGGACATGTTTCAAAAACAAAAAAAAAATTATTTTTATTTATAAGAATATGCTTTTATATATGCATAAATATGATATAAGCTCCTTCAGTAATGGTCCTTGGAGTTTCTAAAAAGAGCATAGATGATGGAGTTCCTTCTGCAAGCTAGAGAAACATTGTTGCTATCTGCTGTTTCATAGAATATATCCATCAGAATCTTGTTATAACTCAGTCTTGAATACAACTAGAGACTGTGAGGTATAAAAAAAATCCCAATGGGTATATTCTGTGAAATAACAGGTACCAACCTTTCCGTAAATAATATTAAAATATAAAAATTTCAAACCAACTTCTGTTATTATTTCAGAGCTTTTATTTACTCACATTTTTATGCATCAAATTTAACATTTTTACCTTTTTGACTCATGACGTCATCATTGGCAAGTCAGTTTGTGACTCAGTGAAATTTGACATTGTAACTATCAATACTAACTGCAAGAGTATGGGATCAAGAATGCCAGTACTTTATGACATAGTGGCCAACAAGTTTTCGTGTTGCCCTCCATTGGGTAAAGGCTAAGATGTGTGCCACTTGAACAAGTGTAGGCTTACCAGATTAACTCTGCAAAGTCATAACCTTGTTGACAGTTAGGCAGGCTCAAAGGGCATGAGTCTTATCTGGGCTGCCAACTGGCCATGTTAAATTTTAGGTGATAAATGGCAAGCTTAGGTGTACACAAATTTTTTTATGCCCAGAGCAACTGTGTGGAAATTTTCACTTTTTAAAAAAAAAAAAAATTGCAAAAATTTAAATATATAAATGTGAGAATTTAGCCAAAAATTTAGTGCAAAATAGGCGTGAAAGAAGACATTTTTGCATGCAAAACAAATTAATACAGTAAAAATTTTTTTAATGGTGAAGTATATTGAATTCTATTATTTCAAAGCACTTAAATAAGTCTAATTATTTTAAATATTAGAAAAAGTTAAGCAAAGAAGTAACAATTAAAATAAATTAGTAATTCTTTGTAAAGTTTAAGTGAAAAAAGAAAAATTAATGCTCACACAGTTTATTTACAGTCGACCCCCGTATAAGATCATTGATTATTCCGTTTTATATGAATTTAATGTTGTACGAGTCACTTAGATTTTACAAATACGTGTACCGGGCTGTGAACGGCTCACGTATTTGTAAAATTTAAGTGACTTGTACAACATGGAATTCATATAAAACAGAATAATCAATGATCTTATACGGGGGTCGACTGTAGAAGCCATTCTTATATCCTGAAGATGACTTTTTAAAGCAAGTCCACTGCATTTATTTCTCTTGATATTCAGAATGTAATAAAATACTTCAATTGAATCTTCAATATAACAGAAACAAGAATATTAATTGTATCAATGATTATAAAAATTTCTTTATATAATTATTATTCCTTTTTTAACATATATATTTCTCTTAAAAATATGTAGAATATTATGAAAACCTTATTTAGATAATGAGTGATTAATAACTATTTATAACCGATCAGGAATAAATTCTTTTAGATCAATAATTTAAAAAGAAATGCATTGTTTTATTTTTCGAAATTTATTAAGGAATATTATGTTTTAATAATAATCAAGCTAGTAAGAATATTTTAATATTAGTTTTTAATAATAATAAAAATAACTTTGTATAACTTAATTATTGTTATTAAATAATGTAACTTTTTCCCCTCCAACTTTTCAATGAAGTAATGTATTTAAAAAATACAAAATAAGTAATTTTTATGATGTAAAATCTATAAAAAAAAAATAATAATAATAATAATAATTGTAGCTATTTTAATATAATATATACAATTTGTTCTGCCCCGATACTGAAAAATATTGATCTTTCTGCGATCGTGTATTATAATGTGATTCTCGTGACGAGATTAAAATATTAACTATCGATATCAATGTATCAATAAGAACAATTGTATTATGTATTATTTTATAAGAGAATAAATGCGAAATTGGCTAAGTGAGTGCAAATTTTCTGCTTCAGAGAAAGAGAATATTTAAGGATATTTAAGTTTCGAATCAGGATGTATTTCATTATTGCAAATTTATCATTTTTAATGCGATAGTGCTAGCAATAATTTGGTTTGTAATTTTTAATTAGTTATATTTAATTAATTGTATCATATACACCTTGAATGACTTTCAGTTAAATGGAAATTATTATTTTATAGCTAGATGATATTTTTATTTATTATGAAATATTATGTAGATAAACCAGTCTTCTATTTATTTTTGCAATACATTTCTTTTTATAAAATTGAGAATTTTATAATATTTTTGATATTTCAATTAGAACGTTATTCTAATAAAAAAAAAAAATTTAGTCTTAATTTTTAAAAATAAATTAAATGAAACAATATCCATACCCAAACACATTTAACAATGAATTATTTATGAGTTAGAATTAAGCTAATTATTAATTAATTATAGAATTTGGCATAAAGATAAGCAGTTAAGCTGTTATTTTGTATTAAGGTTAACAGTTGGAATGAGAAAGTAATGATGATTCCAAAGCTGTGTAAGTAAGACTTCAAGAGATTTACCTGCTGTTTGCACAGGAGCTGCCACATATTAGATAGGCTTTTTTAATGTCTATGATTTATGCAAGCTCCTTTTATATATTTTACCAATTTTTGAGTATTTGGATAGTGCCAGGTTTTAGATCCTCTTGACCACATCATCATCCCATAGAATTCTTTGTCATTGTGTTATATAGCAATAGATGGTAAGGAGTTAATATAGATGCCTTTATTAGCATTGTACTTGCATTCTTTTATCTGTAGTGGTAGATGCTGGGATGTGTATCCCATATAAATAATGCTAATCCTAAAGTGCTTATCCTCCGAGGGGATTGTATACACACCAGAGTTATGGGCAGAGTTTGGTTTTCAGTGTTTCCTTATCATTAAACATGTTATTGACTGTGGGGTTACACTTGTACACAATGACCAAATTTCCTAATACTGTGGCTTTTTTGTGTATGTTTTTAAGTTGTATTTCACTGGGTTTGCAGATGTGATGTGTACTTATTGGGAAAGTGTTGATGTTTCTGTTGTTGATCTGCATGATGAGATGAGTTTATTGATTAAACTGTTAGGTAAACCATGTGTTGTTGCTCTTGTCTTTATTCTATTCAGCGCTGTCTGTGCATAAGCCAATGACAAGAATGTATGCATATACATTTAACTAGGGCTGTAAAAGATGACAGCTTATGAGGGCAGGATTGTTTGACATAAAAGGAATGTATAGAGGAATGAAAGATGGTTTGACATACTATAAACCCTCATTTTAAAGTCCTGTGCTTCACCTTGATTTTTTATGTCCAAAAAAATCTCTATTTAGTCACCTAATATAAAGATAAATGTCACAAAAATATTCTGTCTTCTGGATGAACAGCACAGAATTAGAGTTTAAAAAAATGTCTGGATCAGTTTGTAGACTAAGTGGTCCACAGATCATATTTTGGAATTGATGCCGAAAGAATTATGGGTTGGCATTTTTACACATATGTGAAAACTGTATGTGGTTACTCTGTCACAGAAATGTAGCATGGATGAAACCAGTATTGTAGGAATGTGAATCATCCTTCAGTTTTTACTAATGTAAAATCTGAAGGATTTATGCACAAAGTGTTCATAATCTCCAAGATAGCATATTTTGTTTATAAATTTGTATTTTATTGTGCATCCTGTTTGAAGAATCTTATGACAAAATATTAATTTGAATGTGTTTTATTATGAATGAACTTTAATTTTTTTATTACAACATTTTTATAATTTTTGCTGATTGTATTTTTATCTTTTGTAATATATAAGAGATGCAAATTGAAAACAAAGTTATCAAGTTGAAGTTTCCTTTAGATCTTTACTTTATTTAGAATAAATAAAAACGATTAAGCTCCTCACCTGAAGACCTAGTCATAGGAACAGCACTCAGTCGTTAAGTGAGGAGATGCTGTAATTTAATTATATTTTTCATTCATATGTATTGTTAATTTACAGGTACAGGTTTTAAAAAAAAGTCTTAAACATGAGAATATTCTTCTTGGAGACGGATTAGCAAGAGCATTTTTGAGAGCACTAGTACAGTTAATAGGAGGTTATCGAGAAGCACTAAGAGTACAACTGGGAGAAAAGATAACCTTTAATTCGGATGCCTTTATACAAACCAGGCCCATTTCTATGCAACCTTTTTTAGAAAGAATGCTTCATTTACAGATATTTCAGCAGGTAAATTTATATTGAGTAAATTATCTTAAAATAGGTTAGGGCATAAAATTTTTCTTTGCGTAGTTTATCGACGGCCGACTGGAAATGTTGAATAGCGGACAAGGTTTTTCGGATGAATTTGAACTTGAAGTTAACATGTATGAAGAGAAATCTAGTAGTAGCTTAAAAACTCAGTATAAAGAATGGGTGCAAATGATGAAGGTAAGAAAGAAAATAAAGATAGTAATACAAGTGATATATTTAAATGTCAAAAGCTTTAATAAAAAAAATCATTTAATAAAAATATCTTCAGAAAGAAGGTGGGGCTTTTTTCAAAACAGTAAAGCATAAGGTAGGAAATTTTTTTTTATGAAAAATTTTCATGTAAAATTGATCAAATGAAAAGTTTATTTGTAAGGAGAAGCTTAACGGTGTATAAACTAAAAACATAGAATATGAAAATGAATTTATTCTGGAAATTGTTAGGTTACAAAATGAACAATGCATGTAAAAGAAAACATATTTCAGCAATCTGTTTGTTTAACAAAATTGAATATACTTCATGGTCTGTTTGCTTATGAAGTTTTTGTTTTCACACTTTTCAAAACATTCTGGAAGTCTTCAGTTGTAAATTGGCAGAGCTTGTTCTGAACTATTTTGCAAAGTCCTGTGGTGGAACCGGCCTTCAGCCTTTTGTCATACACTTTCTGCTTTAACCAATACCAAAATTGTTCAATTAGTCTCAGTTTGGGTACATTGCTTTCAAGAGGAATGTATTGAATCTCATATTGGTGAAAGGCAGCAATTGTTTTTAGGCAGCACGGTGAACTATTTACTTCAATGTTAAGGCAAAGTTTAGACTGCGCGACAAAGGCCTAAGATTTCCTAGGAGGACTTATACCTCTCCATGCAAAAACCTTTGAAAACTTTACATGATATATGATTTGCATAATCATATATCATGTGAAGTTCCACACATTCAGATCCATTCAGTGTAAAATAAGACCAGTTGTCTATAACAGTGTTTTTCAACCTGTGGGTCGTGACCCCCAGGGGGTATCAAAGCCTTACATGGGGGGTCGCGGTTAAAAGAAAAAGACAAGTGTTTGTAGGTCCTACACTACAATAAAAAAAACTACAATTTCAGTCAGCTTCTTTGGAATGTTTGGTTGAGAGGTGACGCATAAGCTTTGATGGTTTCATACTCTCACATGATAATACATTGCCACAAATTACACATTGAGTTTTATTATTCATGACAGTAAACTTGTATTTCAAGTAATTGTTATCATAATGTCTATTTTTTTTTTTTCGGTTTTGATTGACTTCCATCACTGCCACTTGTACCAGACATGGAGGGCTGCGATCTTTTCAGAAACTTATCCATTTTATGCTCATGTGGAGCAAAGCGCAAAGACAATACAATCACGTCTGTACTTGTTGGTGCACTCGGACAACTGATGGAAACAAAAGAAACCGAGCGTACGTTACTGTGCGGGCAGCGTGAGGCGCACTCGCCTCCAGCGCCCTGTGGCAAAGTTACTATTTGCAGGGCTCTTGCAACTTCTTTCCACAGTACAATTGGTTTTTCGATCAATATTTAGGTCTCAACAGAAAGAAAATTAAATACGTAGTTTTGCCAGCAGTGACATTAATTAGCTGCTTTTGCTTTTCTTCTAATTTCTTCAACACTAGACAGCATTTACTTTTCTTCCACACTCTTTAAGTACAGTAATACCCCGAACTTATGCGATAGGTGGGACCGAGTGGTAACCGCGTAAGTTGGGGTATAATTTTGCATATAAATACATACAAATAATTTTTAATTGGGGCCAGAGACTAAAGAAAACAATAATTTAAAAAAAATGTTTAATAAAATCTTAGATAATACATATGTATAACAAATTAGGCCTATATTATTTTACAATTTTTCACATTTACTTGATTATTA